AAATTCCTTCGAACACACCGGAATTATGATGTGCTACATTTCCCAACTTGTTTTGTCTCTACTACGTGAATCGTTAACTGTTTTATTTATAATCATTGTTCTTTGCGTGTTTAGATGTTCAAAACCATTAAATTAAAATTATATCATCGTGTAATTTGTTTCTGTAATAACACCACGTCCCTCAACGCTGTTGCACTGTTCTTGTGTATCATAGCACACCGATTACTTTATTTGTTCGTTATCACTAAGCACTGTCGTATAGTCAAGCTTAGCATTTCATATCTTTTCCCTTTTTGACTCCTTGCTTATGTGTTCCAACTTCCTTCTTTCTCCTGATAGGCCTAATTTGGTTATTGTCAAATGGATCTGTTCCTCCGTTATAGATCCGTCAGAGCAGTGATACTATACGAATAACTTTAACAGTAATGATGACCATTTCTGACGAAAACACGTTTACAAGGAACAATTAAAATAGTGTGCAAAACATTTATACATATTTAATAAAATTTAAACGTTATATTTAACCGTAAACATTTAAGACAGGTATGACATCAGAATACATAAAACGAAAAAGGGATGAATACAATGCAAAGGATAAACGTCAGAATTAATAAATTAAGACAAAATTCCTCATACGAGTTCTTTAAAAACGCCTTCGCCAGAGAGCTGGTTGGTTAAACTTCAAACGCCACGTTACCGTCTCTTTCAGCATAATGATACATACATCACTCAGCTTCTTATAGCACTCTGCACGTGTTGAGTCGAGGGAAAAGTTCCCCGACATACCTCACCTGAAGTCAAACTCATTTATTGAAGTTTTCTGTTCTTAACGACCATCTCCTTCCCCGCCATTTGCTTATTTACCCTTTTCGTGATTACTGCCACGCTGATGAGAAGCAAACCCCTTCATCCTCCATCCCTTTGTGAGTTTTGCGTCACATAGGATGAGCGTTGTGTTATAGGGGACTATAAACCGGAGTTGTTAGCTTTTACTTCAAAAAGGGTAGATGTAAGAACCAAAATGAATTCACACAGCGTCATTCAATCTACTTAACAACAACAAATATTTCATAATGTTGTCTAATGTTTCAATATTCTGATCCATTTTAACCCTTTCGTGTTTATTCTTATTTCAGGAAATATTTCCTTAAATATTCAAATGTACTTTATATCATTGTAAAATCGTAAAATGTTAATTGCAAACCACTGGCATATATTGGGACACTTGTCGTTTATTTGAGTTCTGAGATACAAAATACATCCAGAAATTGAAAAGCTTCTAAAGAGATTTATCATGCTTAGCATGAAGATGGTTACTTTGTTTAAAATAATAGTAAAGTTATCTAAATGTGCACCTTTTGCTTTTCGAATGTAAGAGACGGCACAAATGTAAAATAACACGAGAAACAAAAGAATTCGTTAATGGTAAGGTTCATTATGAAAAACTCGACTTGTGGATTTATATGTTAGATCTGGTAGATGTTTATAATATACCTCCATACAAATGCCTCATATAACTAACTAAATGGCTTACCGAACACATTCGTTAATGGTGAGGTTCATTATGAAAAACTCGAATTGTGGGTTTTAATGTTAGATCTGGTAGATGTTTATAATATACCTCCATACAAATGCCTCATATAACTAACTAAATGGCTTACCGAACCCGAAGGTTCATCACCGAATTAACCAAAGCCCTCCACCGGACCCTGTCTTGGGCCAACAAAATCCAGTTTCCTTCAACTCCTATCTCCCATAGATCCCGCCTGACATTATCCTCCCATCTACGTCTAGGTCTCACCAGTGGTCTCTTTGCAACATTCCAGGTTCCAAATCTCATATCCTTTTTCAATTGCCATGGTCGTACCAAAGAGTTCGTCTTGTTCCATTTCTTGATTAACTTTTTCGAGACAATACAGTTTTTACTGTGGAAGGTTATTAGCGTCACGCCCAATCCCTAAGATGGAGGGCCACCCCACGTCGGCTGTCCGCGACCACTTATTCAATATATTCCCAGCTAACCTCCAAAACTAGAGGCTATTCCTCCATCCGAAACATGAGATCGCGCCATGCCGTGGTGACAGGTACCCACCAAACATGGACAACTGCTTCATACACTTAAATATTTCGCTGAGTCGACACATTACTTTTTCTGTTTCCTCAGATTTATCCCAATTAAAGTCATATTTTAAATATTCAGAGCCCTCTGTTTTCTCAGTCAGAAGTTTTTTTTAAAATGTCATACTTAAAATTTATAAAACCGTAATGCTTCGTCTCTTTAACTTTGCGCTAGAATACGCCATTAGGAAAGTCCGAGATATTGCAATTGAATGGGACACATCAGCTATTGGCTTATGCTGATGACGTTAATTTTTGGGTGAAGATATAAATACAATAAAGAGGAACACAAAAGTTGTACTAGTGACTAGTAGCCAGTTGGGGCTAGAAGTAAATTCAGAAGGAAGCTAAGTACGTTAAAGTTAAAATATTTGGGAACAAGAATAACAAATCGAAATGATATTCATAAGGAAGTTAGGAGGAGACTAAATTCCGTAGATGCTTGCTTCCCGTCTGATTTCTACGTGTTACGTGTTCAGCCAGTCATTACTTGGCTTAATTGCGTGCTACATCTTCAGCCAGTCATTACTTGGCTTAATTGCCCCGTGGGTAATGGGCGAAGAACATTTGTTATGATGCTCTCTGAGTTCCTGATCGTCTAATTTGAAACAGCGTCAATAAACTACTTCGAGATCAAGTAATTACACGTCGATTTCGATCCACTAAAATCGAATTTTCATACATATGCTGCTATAATATTGCATGAACAAGAACATTTATAAATTTTAATCAAGTTACTTCACTATAATTAGTTCGTCTGGTGCGGGGAAAAAAATTTCAACTTAAAATTCAACTTCTGAGTTACCCAAGCTTTAAAACGTTTACCAAACGTATCCAAGCACGAAACCTATGCTTTATTACATAAAGTAAAAAAATACAGTGCAGAATCGCTTACTAAGCGGCAAAAGCAATTTTTGTGTGGGCGTAACTGTTATATTTAACTGCATTTATGACCTATTCTGTTTTATGTACCATTGTGTTATGTTATTAAAACAGAATGCATATGCAAAGTTAGTCGTAAAACCGTAAGTTCTTAGATATCTACGCCTAGATGGGAGGGAATATACGAAAATGTCTGAGGATGTGAAGTAGATAAACCTTTGTCAAGATTATGGTCATTGGCGAGATTCTTTAAACACGGTAAGAACCTTCGGATTCTGTATGAGCTGGGGATTTAATGTTCAGCGGGTGGCGTGCAAAGAGAGAGAGAGAGAGAGAGAGAGAGAGAGAATAAAAAAAAATTGCGATATTGCCCTCGCTAACAATTCTTCACAAACTTCCACATTCTTCGGATAGACGTTCGTGCGCTTTGGCAACACCAAATACACAAGAAAGTGTACAGCAAGTGACTGAAGCTGATTTGCTGAAGAGGACACGTGACAGTAGATACACAGAAGCATAAAAAACTCATCCGCCATCATTCGTGTTGGTCAGTATAGCTTTTTTCAAACGACCTGTACCGTGGGGTTAGGTTATTAATTAAGTTTTAATTTGGATGCTTCTCTAACAAAAATTATGACGATATTTATTCGGCGGGTTAACGCGTCCAATACCTCCCCCGCCTACAATTACAGGTGCAGTATGAAAAGAAGCTCTACAAATTAACTTTCACCATAATAATTATCATTGTCAACCTTCCTCGTGGTATAACCGGTGCTCTTAGACTTCCCTTTGTAGGATTTTTCAGCAATATTCACTTTGACTAGTAAAGCTAAAACTGAAAATATAGAAAAGAAGAATTTTATTCGAAGACGAATTTCATCTAGGATATTACGCCATGTGGTGTCGAAGAAATTTCCCAACAACTGATGTCCTTACTGCCTCCATCGTCAGGACGAGTGTGATCGCCCTAATAATGGAGGCAGTAAGCACCTGTGAAAAGGCGGCCAGTTTCCTAGAGACTACACGGCTATATAGATCACACCTAAAATACTTATAATTTTACATGAGCTCTCTACATTTAATTTCCCCCTACTATTGATTTCTTATTGCATTACTACGTTCTTGAACTTCGTAAATTTTTAAAAATTATTTGATTTTTGTTTTTTAGTATAATAGAAGATAGCATATTGACTAATTAAAAACTATGTAGCTCGCTGGTAGTACTACAATAGCTCTATCATTAACATCTAAAGGACGTCCAGCTCCACTGACACAAAAGTCCACCAATGGGCACGATCCCGAGCTACTCCAGCCACTTCTGTTTCTCAAAACTTGTTATTTCCATTTCGGGATGAGGCCCATGAACCTTTTAATTTGCCTTTGTTCAAAGATCCCAGTTCCAAAGAGGTTTCGCTATCAAAATTTTGTAGTTATTCTTGTGTTGCCTTGTCTTTGTCCACATGCTCAGCTCGTCTAACAATCGCAAGTTTCAAACGTGCTACTTCTGTAACATTAGATAAGGTACTGGTTCCATGCTTCGACCCTGAACTGACAATCGACTGTCAGACAGAACTCTTTACAGCATTTTTCTGCAATAACTCCATACAGCAGAATCTATCAGGTGGTCAAGAAATTTCCCGCCATTTATACTCACAACTATACCACACATTCAGCCAGCTGAAATCAGTCTACGCCGTCATTTATTTATTTAAGTCCCATTTTAATATTATTTTCCCATCCATGGCTACGTCTACCAAGTAATCTCCTCTCAGGTTTTCCGACTAACATTTACATTCCTCCTGTCACGTATGAATGATTCGTGTCAAATTCATCTTATTCTCATTGTTCCAATTACTGTAGCAAATTATGAGCATTAAAATGTTTTGTGAACGCGATTGAGCAGTGGCCTACTAGGAACCACTTTATACGATATGCCATTGTTCAGGGCTTTTTAATCTTATGTAAAAAAAAAAATTAAGTCATGGTGTTTTAATACTTACAAATCCATATCCTCTGCTTTTGCCAGTCTGCCTGTCGGTAATAACCACGGCTTCCTCGATGTCTCCAAACATAGCGAAGTGCTCTCTCAATGATTTGTCAGTTGTGTGATATGGTAGGCCTCCGACAAATAATTTAGTCCACGTGGTGTCTTTTTGTTGCACTCCACTGGCAGCTCCTGCGGCTGCTGCACCCAGCCCACCGAGCCCTCCAACCCCCAGTCCAGTCACCAATCCATCGGCTCCCCCAAGAACAGCTGCCGCATCGGCTGCCCCAGGCATTAGCATATTGGAGTGAGGTTAGGTTTCGGCTACGAACTGTAAATACCGTCAATTACACGTAGACGTCTCGAGCGGCAAAATAAACTTATTATCGCGTAACTCCTGTATTTTATAAGTTTGTTCTTTATCACAGTAATTTTAGATCCGAATATAATTTCTTTATATTTTGCTGAAATCGGCACTTCTGTTTCTTGTTCAAGTGTCTATTTTCAACACCCCTGATCTAACCGCGTCTTCGCTGTTCAACAAATTCACGGTCGATCTCCTTGTACAGATTGGGTTAGAAATTCTACACACCTAGACTCTGTTCGAGATTTTAATAAACTGTATAGCAGAATAAATGTTTGGAGTCAGTATTTACGTATAAAAGTCAACACAGTACTAATATATCAGTAAACTGCTTCTCTCACCGTCTTAATGAATTATCACACACTTTTGTCTGCTGTTAAAATAAATATGACTGCCAGATGTTCATAAATAAGTACGTATAACCTAACAAAAAGTCAGCAGTCCGAAAAGAAAAACACTTGGACGGCAAAAAGACTTGTATATTAATAAATGGCTACTTCCCTCTGAAAAAATATATAAAAATTGTACTTTCCAGGTTATTGCACTTGTTCTTCTTATCCGCAAGATGAATATCTTCACGTGATATCACCAACGTAAAAAAACTTCATACACAGCCTACGATTGTGTTTGAAACAATATGGTGTTGTAACCGCATGCTTATGAGATATATCGTTTAGTGTCCTTGGACAGATATGAGAAATCACAGAAAACAATTAAAGGCACTGATTTTTAGCGTATTTTCACTTTGTCCCATTCGGTTGGATGGTCGCTGTTGATTTGCTGCTTAACGTTACTCGACCGGTGACCGTTCTGCATGTAGCCCCGTCTCTTGTAACTTCTGTCCGTAGCAGTAGCTAGCTAGCTTGCCTCCTAATGCTATATTTAGGGTTCCCCTACTGGCACTCGGTTCTTGCAGCTGTTCGAAATTTAAAATCCCGTTACGAACAACAACGAATGTTGAAAAGGAGTTTCAAGAGACATCACAAACTCATTTTATACCCATTCACAATAGCTTGAAGACCACATAAGATGTAAACAGATTGAAAACGAAATTTTAAAAATTAAATGTGTGCTAGTTAGTGTTAACTACACGTACGTGTCGGAAATTCTGCCACGATGTTTGGAATATAACATGACCACAATACAATTTACCGCTGGTATGTATACGTGTGATATTTTGTCATACTTATGGAACCGGCATGCTTTGCGCGTGACAGTATGAGCTTACGAAGTCATATGTGATTGGCCCTTGCCTACCCCCGCGACAAGTCTCTTTCCTTTTGTACTTCCTCTCTCTTTTTCTCTCACTCCCTTCGCTTTCCCTGCCGCTTTGCAAGTTTTTGTTCACATATATATGTGTGTTAATCTGCTCCCCATTTATGCGCACATGGGTACATAAAGCCAACAGAGCTACCAACCTAAGCAATTTAACACCAAGATGAGTGACAGCTTTTTATCGATTATGTGTTAGTGTTCTCTTTTAGCGGATCGTGTCTTGATACATTTCTCAGTACGGCAACTAGCTCAAGACATTTATAGTTATAATAATATAGTCCAGATATCATATGACAGTGCACATATTGTGTACGCTGTAACAACCATTTATAATTATTTACGATGAGGGTATAAACCGCAGAAACTTCGTTGAATAATAGAAAGGTTTTGAACGGTAGTAACCAATAACTTTTTATCATCCTACCGGGATCACGAGCCGATTTATTGTAAAATCAATAAAATACTTAATAGAATGGTGTTGTTTTCAGTTGCCGTTAACAAATATTGTGATAATATTAATAAGAAAGGAAACAGTCTAACTAGCCAGTAATATTATTTTGTCTTACATTTTAGACGTTCTTACATAATATGCATAAAAACAACGCACAAGGGGGGGGGGCGTGTCTGCCCCGACCGAATGTTTCATATCCGAAAATACTCGATGTATTTCAATTAAATTTGGTACTGGGTGTAAAGTAAAACCTCCGACAAATTTAATTTTTTTATATATTGGTCCATAGTCTTTCAAAGAAAATTTATCATCGTACAAAATTGTTATTCCTAACGGACGTGAAATACACTTTGTAAATCTTAGTAAAATCTATAACGCCCATTTGAAACATTGTGTACATGAATGCAAAGGTCACATTTGGAACTAAAAATTTCAATTTTTGTGTTTAATTTTGTAGATGTAGTAATATCAATGTAAAGCTTAGCACTGCGTTTTTGTCACCAAATTCCGATTTCTGCGAGTTTATAATAACAATAATTTCAATTCACCATTACTTTTAATAATACTAATAATTTATTTATAATGAAATTCTTAATTCATTGTGAAATTAGCCCGCGAATCACATTAAGTTGTTATGAATAATTAAAGCTGTTTTAATATGCAGCCTCCGGATTGTAAATTTCCGAAGTTCCTTTCATTCCTACCCATTAGCAAAACACATTTTTTATTAAATATCTCAAATTATTATCTACTAGTGTAAACTGAACTTCAGATTTATAATAAAACATCGAGCTTGAGTTCTATAATTAGAACTCAAATGAGAAAATTTCTAAAAATTAAAGATTGAAAAAAATTGACATTTTATCCGATTTATGCGGTTTTGAAATATCGGTGATGGGCGAAAGTACAAAGAATGAAAAATAAATAATTCCATTGTCTGAAATTATATTTCTGAGTCATATCGATTCGGTTGAGGTTATGATAAAAACACCAATAGGAATATACAAAGTAATTATTAAACGCTTGTAGCTGAATAACATGACGATTAAAATGAAACTCTTCTAGTCCATAACCTCTCAACCTCTTTTGATTTTATAAATTTTAATTTGCTTTCTTCTACCCCTACGTCACTCTTTGCTTCAGGTTTTCCGCCTAACATTTAGCCATTAATTTTTCGTCTCTCGAATGCTTGCTACATGCCCCGTCCATTTCCTTCGCCTTCATTTTATTACCCAAATATCATTTTGTAAAGGTTACGAACTATGAAACACCCTATTGTCTGCTTCTCCCCACCTCCACTACTTCTCAGTCACCACTTTAAAGCTCAGAGGGAAATATGTGTATTACCTGCTTTAGCAATCAGTAACTCTGTATGTACAAATTTTGTGTGATTCTTAGTGTAAACGGGAATTATTTCCATACACAGCTTTAATCAGTTGTTTTTTGTAATAGTGAAACATGTTGTTTCTTTCGTGGTACGGACTGGATTATTTAGACCAGTGGTATTCAACCTGGGGTACGCGAAGAAATCTTAGGGGGTACGTGAAATTTAAAAAAAAAAAATTATGTTAAACACTGAATAATCAGTAATGTAATTTCTTTAATTTATTTTAGATGTAGATTATATACTACGTATAACTTGAATTATACACCAACAACTTTGAGGGTACAAAGTTGAAGAGAAATTATATCTGGTGGTACGTGAACGCAAAAGGTTGAATACCATTGATTTAGACAAGCCACGGCTTCAACTTTGTTTGTTAGACTACTGGCTACAAAGTCCTTCGTCCGGCATAGATCCTCTGTCTGTAACGATGAGATGGTTTCTAAAATCCAAGTTGCTTCTACGTGCTTCTCTTGTAGCCCTCCCGGCTCAATGTGGAGGAATTCGGGAGACACAGGAGGTCAGATATCCTTTGAAAAAATAATAACCACTACATGAAGACGTCGGTGGTCAAATGTCTTTACATTTCTCATCACAATCAATAAGCGAGAGATGAGAGATCAGGAGACCTAGGTGGTCGCATTTTTCGCGCATCATATCCATAGACAGTCGAGCCCCGCTGGAAGCTACTTAGTTGTAAAAAAACAGAAATGAAATTCAAATTACTGTACTGTTTAATGGTGATTTTGATATGTTCCTGATCGCCAGCCTCCTATTACCACATCTCTGAGTTTCAAGAATTATGAATGTGTTGCAAGTGTTAAGGGATTTTATACAATTTATTTTAAGAAAGACCTCTGGCGATGAACGAACCACTGTAACTAGTGAACTGAATTAATTAATGCAACAAGAAGAACGGGGAAGTCACCCTGGTGATGAAATTAAAAATGAGCGTTTCGTCTAAGCGTGTTTTATGTCTACTTTCTATGTTCTTGCAGTAATTTATAAAGCGAGCAGGTAGGAATACAGAAGGAGAATATATACCACTTTCGATGGCGCATGCTACGTTATTATTATTCTAATGATTTTCATGAAATTACAGACTTTTCTTCGGTAAGAACTTCGCGAGACGCACTAAAATATATTTCGGCCATTCGATTCTCGACTAAACGCTCGTGGATTAGTTAGTAACATTTTATCTATACCATTGGTAACCTTCTAGATGGTACCCCCCCCCTGCATCCCTCCAGTAATGCAACGTCAACCCACCCTCTTGCCATGTGCTCATGTATACGCACAATGGACTCACGCATGCACGCACGCTTGTCCCACCCCAGCTGTTCCCGCGTGGGGTCCGAGAGACAAGCCCCATGCATCTCGAAGACTTATTTGTCTGTCTGTATGTCACAGTTATGTAAATCCACAAAAGGTTGAATACCATTGATTTAGACAAGCCACGGCTTCAACTTTGTTTGTTAGACTACTGGCTACAAAGTCCTTCGTCCGGCATAGATCCTCTGTCTGTAACGATGAGATGGTTTCTAAAATCCAAGTTGCTTCTACGTGCTTCTCTTGTAGCCCTCCCGGCTCAATGTGGAGGAATTCGGGAGACACAGGAGGTCAGATATCCTTTGAAAAAATAATAACCACTACATGAAGACGTCGGTGGTCAAATGTCTTTACATTTCTCATCACAATCAATAAGCGAGAGATGAGAGATCAGGAGACCTAGGTGGTCGCATTTTTCGCGCATCATATCCATAGACAGTCGAGCCCCGCTGGAAGCTACTTAGTTGTAAAAAAACAGAAATGAAATTCAAATTACTGTACTGTTTAATGGTGATTTTGATATGTTCCTGATCGCCAGCCTCCTATTACCACATCTCTGAGTTTCAAGAATTATGAATGTGTTGCAAGTGTTAAGGGATTTTATACAATTTATTTTAAGAAAGACCTCTGGCGATGAACGAACCACTGTAACTAGTGAACTGAATTAATTAATGCAACAAGAAGAACGGGGAAGTCACCCTGGTGATGAAATTAAAAATGAGCGTTTCGTCTAAGCGTGTTTTATGTCTACTTTCTATGTTCTTGCAGTAATTTATAAAGCGAGCAGGTAGGAATACAGAAGGAGAATATATACCACTTTCGATGGCGCATGCTACGTTATTATTATTCTAATGATTTTCATGAAATTACAGACTTTTCTTCGGTAAGAACTTCGCGAGACGCACTAAAATATATTTCGGCCATTCGATTCTCGACTAAACGCTCGTGGATTAGTTAGTAACATTTTATCTATACCATTGGTAACCTTCTAGATGGTACCCCCCCCCTGCATCCCTCCAGTAATGCAACGTCAACCCACCCTCTTGCCATGTGCTCATGTATACGCACAATGGACTCACGCATGCACGCACGCTTGTCCCACCCCAGCTGTTCCCGCGTGGGGTCCGAGAGACAAGCCCCATGCATCTCGAAGACTTATTTGTCTGTCTGTATGTCACAGTTATGTAAATCCACATGTCGTGTGTTCTCTGTCATTAACCTGATTTTGTTTTAAAAATCTGAATATTATTATTCTGCGCAACATGTCAATGTCAACAGCTTCTCTATAATGAGAGCACGTCGGTTTTATGACACTGCATCACCTTCTGAGGTTATATAGCTTCTAGTAAGATATTAACTGTTATTTATTCGTTAAAATTAAAACGGTTAAATCATGAATAATTATACAGCCTGGACATATAACGCACATGAAGGAAATAATTAATCGATATGAAAGATTTTGGTTGATAAACCTAGTGGGAGAAATCACTTGGGAATTTAACAAGTCAGCGATGTAGAAACGTTTTTGACAAATTCGTAGATTTGAAGTTCCCAAAGCGGCTGTAATATCGTTTGTGGTCCT